TCTCAAGACTGCCGCCGTTTTTTTTTTCTTTTTCTTTTTAATAATAAAAAAGTCTTCCCCTCAAAACAAAAATCTCTCAATGGCTACAAAAGTTCCTTTCTGTCGATGCACAAGCGTGTACAGCAATGCCCGCAAAAGCTGCCTGAGTCGACGTCCCACAAATGTCAGGGCACTCACACACACGAGACTCAGTACATGTTTGAGCATGTATGGCGATAATGGCGTATTTTGCCATGCATGTGCTGGGTACAGGGTTCCAAAAAAAAAAAAAAAAAAAAAAAAAAAAAAAAAATCGAAAAAAGATATGCTATGGAGAATTAGAGTATCCGGCTACTATCCNGTGTGTGTGTGTGTGTGTGTGTGTGTGCAGCAGCAGCGGGCGCCACGTCGAAACGGCCGCTTTGAAATTGCTCGGGCCTGTGCGAAACCCGCCACCTTAAAAACCTGCAGTGTCTTGTGTGTGGACCTCCAGGCCATGTCCGGTGGGGTGAAAGGACACTTAAAAATCACCCAGTTATTTTTCGAGGGGCGGCTAGGACCCGATAAACATCCTGGGCCACCCCTTTTTTTTTTTTTTTTTGCCCCAGGGGCCTCCATCCGGACATGGGGACCGGACATGGGGACTGGACACCGGACTGTCTGGAACCCGGTCCGGACGTCCGGGCGGTTACCATGATATATAGGCTACCAGCTGGGCCACCGCCCAGCCCGTGCAAGGACCAGGGAAGGTCCCAGCCAAAAAAAAAAAAAAAAAAACATATATAGGCTACCATCCGGGCTGCCCGGGTCCCGGGTGGCCAGCCCATGCAGGGACCAGGGAAGGTCCCAGCAAAAAAAAAAAAAAAAATCCAGAAAAAAAATCTGTTATGCAGAAAAATAAACTGAACGACTTTTGCCTCGGGGTCACATTGACATTCTTCACCAAATTTAGAATAAAAAATAAAGTTTAAATTTTTATTTTTTTTTGCGGCCCGGCCGGGCAAGCGACCGCGGGCCACTCTGGTAGCCTATATATAGATATACGGGGGAAAAAAGGGGGGGGAAGGGGGAACAAAGGGAAAAAAAGGGAAGAAAGGGAAAAGAAAAGGAAAAAAAAAGGGGGGGTGGGAGGGAAAGGAAGAGAACCCTGCCAACTGATAAAATAGAGTAGGTTACCAACGGGCTGCATCATGGCTAGCCCTGGTGCCTGTCACTACTGTTCTGTCCAAGTTCCCTTCGATTCTAGTAGGGTAATGGTCCTGAGTGCTGGTCACACTGAGGTAGGATAGTAGAGATAGGGGGTGCGCTAGGAGTATTGACGGGAGGAGGGATGGAAGGTAACCTCGTTCCCTCAGGACAACCATGGCTGACCGCTCCAGGCGACTAGTAACTGGCCTCTACAACACCCTGGGCTTAATTAAAAAAAACACACACACACACACACACACACACACACACACACACACACACACAGATGTTGGCTTAGAAAAGTTGCTGTCTCTTATACACAAAAAAAAAAAAAGCAGCAGCCAGATCGAGTACTATTACAAGGACTGAATCTGACCGCTCATTTTGCGATTTTGTGATTACATTGTTTTTCCTTTTCCCTTTTTCCTTTTTCCTTTTTTCCCACCAGGAAATGGGAATAGCTGGCTGTATTAAAAAAAAAAAAAAAAAGAAGCAAGCTGCCAGCAGAGGAAAATGGATGAAAATCAAAAGTATTAAATAGGAAACGAGTACAGGAAGGGGGAGAGAAGAAGTGCAAGCCGGTACTAAGAACATGGAAGCCTGTGCAATGTGCAGTTATGTCATGCCATGCCAGCAGCTGTAAAACGGAAGCTGGCGAAAGCCACGCAGAGCATTCAGGAGAAGCGTATACCATCAGCATCGAAGAATAATATGAACTGACGGCATTCGCACAGTAGCACTTTATCAAAGAATGTGTCCATGTCTAGGGTCAGATGCATCCAAGAAAAGTTCCCAGTGTGAACATGCCCCCCGCAAGCAGACTTTTGTACCAACAGCTGAATTTTCTCATAAAACAATGGCCGCAAGGTGGACAGGTGGCAAACGTTTTTCTACCAACAGCTGAATTTTCTGATAAAATAAAACAATGGCTGCAAGGTGCACATGGACAGCAGAACAAAATCATGACTACCAAGAAAATTTAGGGGTGAACTGTGCACGCCCTAGATGGACGCAACTGCACATGAGCCCAGAAAACGAAAACCCACCTTCCTCCTTCTCAGTAAGAAGCATCTGTGCCTGCGCAGGGAAAAAAAAAAAAAAAAAAAAAAAAAAAAAAAAAAAAAGAAGAAGAAGAAGAAGAAGAAGAAGTTCGAAAGGGATCAAGAAGAAACGCCAGGCGCGCTTCCCGGCTATCGATGATATGCTCCCTTTTTCTTAAAAAAAATAATAATAATAATAAAAAAATCCTCCTTCGTGTCAAACCGGGAAACACAACCCCCAAAACATCCATGTCCTAAAACACCGTCGAATCGAGCCTCGCCCCTCGCCTAGTCTCATTGTGGGCGGCACAAACGCCACACCACCTCTCTTCCCACCGCCCTTCTTCCTCTGTGTGAGTCTATGTTATGTTCTTTTTCTCCCTAGCAATTGCAACTGCTGCCTGCCTGCTTTTTACCTACCTTCCTTAAAATTGCAGTCCTGCAGATGAATAAGAAAATGTGCAATTGCTATATCCTCTTATTAGACAGAAAACTTGCTCTACAGGAGCGGCGGTAGAGTAAGCTAGATACAAGGCATGTGGGATACAGATATAGCCCGCAAGCCGTAAGGTGAGACAGAGCACACACTGCGCACCTCATCTTTTCTACCCTGCCACCTCCCACAGCAGATGATCGTCTAATAGAAACAATGTGCGGCGACGACGACGACAGACTTTTTGAAAGGCATCTGCTCCTCTGTCGACCATGCGGGGACATTCGTGATCAATCGTATTTTACCTGAAAACTTTCATGGTGCCTGACGGAACACCGTGTGCTACTTTCTCTCCTCCTCTCCTCTCCCCTCTTCTGTTAGAGCATCCTCACACTAGGAAAATCTTCAATGCAACTGGCCGTAATTACGGCCCGACTTGGATGCATCTGACTGCAACTCCGAACCGAAATAAGTAAAGAAGGGTCCCACTGCGAGTACGCCCTTTTTAGAGTAATCCAAGCCCCCGCATTTCCAGCGCGAACCCAGTTCTACTTGCAATGCGACCTTGTTCGTGACTCCGATTTCTCGTCTAGTCCCGTGCTCATGACTGGGTCTTCTCTTCTCGTCCGGTCCGGTCGTCAGCGGGGCATTTCGGCTTCGTTTGGTTGTCCCATCTTCTTGCAGGGGTTCGCTTTCTGTTGTGTGGCTGTTGTGCCTTCTGCTGTCCGCATCGTCGCCTGACAGTCGTGTGTGCATGTCTGCCAAAGTTGTGCCAACGCCTGCACGACTGCATCACAATCCTCTCACTTCGCAACACAGCGCCTTATTAGGAGCAGCACTTAGTACTCACTTGATTGACTAAGCCACTGTCTGTCAGTGGCAGCATTTTCATTTCAGTCCTGATGCACCACCTGCTTGACTAAACCGCCGACCTCCTCCTGGTCGCCCAACCTCTCCCGGAGAATCATATAGGGCCTCGCTCCACGACTCACCGTATGCAGAAATGACAAAAAGTATTGCGGTGCATCTTCCCATGTTTGTGCGGAAAATTCGCTATCATCATCCCATCTTATATATATGGGATGTCTGGCGTGCAGTCGTTGAGGCTTTACGGTCTTTAGACTTCCTTCCCTGCTGACTGTCCGCACCGATGCATTCATTATTGGATACTCGGCGGAGGTTTCAGCATACAGCCAGATTTGCCTTTAACATTGCTGTGTAAGCGCCCCAGATAAGGCATCCGGCCCAGATAAACTACCCACCATGCAAGGTTCTACCAAACCAATTGTTTTGGCAGTTAGACCCCCTTAGATGAAAGAGTGGTATTTCAAGCTTGGTAGTCACTGACGACCACCTCCCACCTATCCTACACATTCCATGCAAGAGTGGTTGTCAATGCAAAGGCTACTAGAGTAAAGGTGCACGGGGTCTTACCGTCTAGCCGCGGGTACTCCGCATCTTCGCGGAGAATTCAATTGCACTGAGCTCATGTTGGAGACAGCGGGGCAGTCGTTACACCAGTCGTGCAGGTCGCTACTTACATTTTGCAGATTGGGAGAATTGGGAGAGTAGTGGAGCGAAGCCCATAACCCTGGTCCGCTGAACCGTGTCCATCCAGTCCACCACTTGACCGAGCGGCAAGAGATGTCATTGATTTCTTTGCTACCTCATAAGAACTAGCATCGTCAACACAATGACATGAAGATGGCAAGATGCAAAAAAAAAAAAAAAAAAGGTAAACATGTTGCCACAATGTCACCTCCTCCCTCTCCTCCCTCTCCTCGGGAGGGGCGCGGAGGGCGCTCTGGAAAGCAAGTGGAAAACCACCGCTTCGAACTGGTGTCCAGCACACCGGCTCCTCCCTCCGAGAGGAGGGGCCCTCCCGGACGCGTCACGCATACGCACACGAATCAGTATGAAGTGCCCCGGAACGCGCGCTACTCCAACTGGCGAGTGCCAACTTGCAGCACACTTACCATCTTCATCTGCATAGAACGCCCGATCATTGTTGCTGTATGTAGACTCAAAGTCGTCCAAATACGGCTATAATGACCTGACATTCTATTCAGGTGAAGACGCCAGTCATCCGACAGTAGCTCGCGTGAACCAGAAGAATCTTCACCGCGACATCACCCAATGTCCGATGAAAACCAGCTCCCATGAACCAGACGAGCCTTCGCTGCGATGTCGCGGTCACCGCAATGTCGCCCAATGTCGGATGAACCAATTCACATGGACTCCTCGCTATGGGTCACCCAATGTCCGATGAACCAGAAGAGCCTTCACTGAGATGTCACTGCAATGTCACCCAATGTCGGATGAACCAGTTCACAGGGACTCCTCGCTGTGGTACTTACAGTCGTCACCCAACTCCTTGATTCAAACCCCAAAAGAAATCCCCACTTTCGCTGCTAGTGCTCCCGCCGCAGCGCAGTCATCCTTACCGCACAGTAAACGGATAATGCTACTTGCTTTGCACATCCAATTCCTCCCCCCCCTCCCCCCCCTCCCCCAATCAGCCCCCGGCTTGTTGGCAGACACCCATGCTTGGCTCCCCTTCGCCTCAGCGTCCATCCATCCATCCATCCATCCATCCGATCCATCCATCCATCCGATCCATCCATCCATCTGTCCGATCCATCCATCTGATCCATCCATCTGATCCATCCATCCCTCCATCCATCCATCCGATCCATCCATCCATCCATCCATCCATCCATCGATCTGATCCATCCATCCATCCATCCATCCATCCATCCATCCATCCATCCGATCCATCCATCCATCTGTCCGATCCATCCATCTGATCCATCTGATGCATCCATCCCTCCATCCATCCATCCGATCCATCCAGCCGTCCATCCATCTCTCCGATCCATCCATCTGTCCGATCCATCCATCTGATCCATCCATCCCTCCATCCATCCATCCATCGATCTGATCCATCCATCCATCCGATCCATCCATGCATCCATACATCCATCTGATCCATCTGATCCATCGGATGGATCCATCCATCCATCCATCCATCTGTCCGATCCATTCATACATCCATCTGATCCACCTGATCCATCTGATCCATCCATCCATCCATCTGGTCCGTCTAATCTTCTCTTTGTTGGCAAGCTCTCTAAAAAGGCTATAATTGAGTGTTTGCACAACTTTCATCTTGCAGCCAAGGGCTTCGACGACAACATAGAGTCACCGACGTATAGCTCGACAAATTATGGCCAGATCCCGCAATGTGGCACGCCATGCACTGCTAGCTTGCTATCATTGCAGTTGACATATGCTTTGGCTCCGGTGCTCCATAAACTGAGGTCTGCATACACTTCTGGCAACAATTATTTTTTTTTACCGGGCTACCGACCCCCACCTCCCCCCAAAAAAGAAAGGTAAAAAGAGAAAAGTGGGCCCAAGTGGGCCCAAGCGCTAAGGATCCTGCTATAAATAAGAAAAAAGCATTCAAAAGGAAGAACAAAAGTCCTGCGCAGCCTGCACCAACGACTCAACGCGTCAGGCACTGCCAAAACTAAGGATGGAGAAATACCGCAGAACCCGCTGGGCATTGCCAGCAGAAAGTCAACAGTCTAAATTTCAAAAGGTAAGGCCTGACAAAGATTATTTACGAATTCCGGACTTCTCAAGGAATCGATGACGAGACTCGGTTTTGATGCGCCATGACTCCGTACCACGTTAGGATTGGCTGCACAATGCCCCGACCATAACCAGAAACCTCCTCTCTCTCTCTCTCTCTCTCTCTCTCTCTCTCTCTCTCTCTCTCTCTCTCTCTCTCTCTCTCTCTCTCTCTCTCNCACACACACACACACACACACACACACACACACACACACACACACACACACACACACACAGATGTTGGCTTAGAAAAGTTGAGTCGATCGTAGTTCGGATCTGAGAGCATTGCATACACACTGCCTCACCCAAAAGGTTCCTTCGGCAGATGTGCAGCAGGAAGTGCATGTGAAGTGGCACTTCTAAACCAATCTATGGTGGAGGTGCTGTAGGGCAGAACGTTTCTCGAACAGTCTTTGTCCGCGCACCATGCCGGATAAACCCCTGCTTTTGCTGTCGTCTCAAAAACGGTGGTAGTGCACGGTGGCACTTGACAAAATCCCCATGCCGCTGTCACCCAATATCCTAATTTCTACCTTACAAAAGGCTCAAGAACTTCAGACAAATGACGACGCATCTTCAAAATGAATACCACATGCTAATGCTACTCTTTGCCGGATATACAGAGGAGCGAACACAATGGCGGGGCACACAAGGTCGGTGACAGCAGAGCAGCAACTGGCGGACAACCGGAACTATGCTCTTGCTATACAATACGGTGCTCTGTTTTGTTCGGGACATTCAGAAAAGTCCAAACAACTGGTGGAAATTTACGACAAGGAGAAAGCTGATGCCCATCCAACGGCGATCCATAAATCTATCTACAGCTCGCATGGCACTACGTTGTTCTATATTCAAAGCGGTGGCAACAAGAAAAACGTCCCCGCTATGCTCGCATGGCACTACGTCGTTCTATATTCAAAGTGGCGGCGAAAAGTAGAACGTCCCCACTATGCACTTGCTATACAATTTTCTCTCTCCCTTTCCATTGCAGCCTTATGGAGGCCAGGACAAGCCAAAAAACACTCATCGAGTGGAGTCGAAACGCGACAGAGAGATCAAGTGCATCATCCGATCGCAAGTCGCAAATCGATGCCCTGCAGCAGTGTCACCTGATTGGCAGGACCAAGAGGTGACTGATAGAAAGGTTTAGCTATTGTCTAGCGCGCTAAGTTGCTATACAATACCGTCCGATTCTTCATTCATCCTATCGGAGAGTCAGGGTCAGGCCCCAGAGGTGCTATGTTCATGCTAGGAAAGCAAGAACCTCACCTCCAATACGGCCAGTCCATGCTTTCCAAGCATGAACATAGCACGAGAGTGCCGCCCCCTCGGACAAAACGCAAAACGCAAAACGCAAAACGCAAAACGCAAAATGCAAAACGTGGAGATGGGAGCAAGGGAGGCAGCTCAACCCCATCCACCCAAACTAGGATGACGCTCGTGCCACGCTCCTACAAGCAAAGCATTTGCAGATTGGCGTATACATATTGCCTGAGATTCCTCACTAACAGGGAGCAGCAGTTGTCCATGTGGAGGGAAGATGATAAACAAAAGGAAGAGGCCGAATCCCATGTGGCACTAGCTGGTGCAGAGGAGGACCTCATGCCACATGGAAGGCACAAAATGTGTTGTGTTTGGTCTTTGCCGAGTAGAGCTGCATTGTTCACACGCCAACGGAGTGCCATGTGGACGACAAAACCTTCATAGCACTTCAAACTATAACGCTGAGGGCGTACTCATGCTACCACTTTTCACAATGTATCTGACTGCAGTTACGCCCGCATCTGGATGCATCTGACCGCAATCAGGGCCAGAGCTCAGTAGAAAAAGTCCCAGGGTGAGGATGCGCTGCTACAATGTCTTGCTTGGCATTCACTCGTATGATCCCTAATCAACCAATCAATCAATCGCAATTTGAACATCGCCACCGAGTGGCAACACCTATGCTTTTCACTTCGTCTTCTACTTCTATTTTTTCTTCTTCTTCTCCGTTTTCAGCGTCTTCTTGCCGGGCTCCTTGCTTGGCACACACCTTCCATTGCTTATCAACCAAATGAATCAGTCAATCAATCAATCATTCAATCAGTCAAACAATCAATCAGTCAATCAGTCAGTCAGTCAGTCAGTCAGTCGATCGTTAGTCAAACGCAGGCGCTGAAATTAACAATGTTCTACGCCCCACTTACTTGGCCTTCCAGCCTAACCCAGCATACCTTCTAATCTCCCCAAAAGGCTATTGAACCGCACAACGGGCGCACTTCGGTTCGCGCGACACATAGGTCGACACCGCCCTTGTATGTCGATGTACTTTATCCCCGTAATCCTTCAGGCTTCCTGAGTCAAGTACAGGAGCATACCCATCGGACCTGCCCCTGTCGCTTCTTCGCTGCTGTCGCTCACTCATGTTCCCAGGCAGCACATTTCCCACGCCACCATACTGACTTGAGTCTGACTCGTAGCCTCGCAAATAACTCTCACCCATGTCCAGCCCAAAGAAACGGCCGCTCCCTCTCTTCCTCGGCTCAGCTTCAGACCTCCACACCCTTAACTGCCGCTCAACGACCAGCTTTGCTGTCTCTGCTTCCTCTGCCTTCTCTATGGCTCTCTTCTCACGGTCGACCAATCCCTGCATCTTCTCCTGGAGTGTAGTGACATCTTCGCACGATTTGCGATACTTCACGGCATCCTCCTCTGCCCTCTCTTTGGCGGCATCGAGCTGCATCTTCAGACCACGCATCTGACCACGAACTAGCTCCAACTCGTCGTTCAGGATTCGCGCCTGGGACTCGGCGGTTCGCAGCTCGGACTCCAACGCTGCTGCCCTCGCCTCAGCCCTCTCCTCAGCCTCTCGGCTACGCTGCGTCGTCACCTCCATTTCCTCTTTAGCCATCCTTGCCAGGGCACTTACGTCTTCCGCCTCTGCCCGTGCCAGCTGGTATTTGCGCTTGTCTTCGTTGCATTCTTTTCGCAGAGATTCGACCAGAGCTAGCGCCTTTGCCTCAGCCTGCCGGGCCAAGGTCATCTCCCTCTGAGATGCCGCGACTTGGCCCTCTGCTTCTGAAACAGCCGCGGCAAGTCGCATTTCCGACTCTTTCATAGCTGCCACCATGCGGCTTTCTGCTGCCCCAGCCATCGCCTTCGCCCTTGCCTCGGACACCCTCGCCATCCTCGAGTCCTGTTCAGCTTTTTCAGCTCGTTCCTCGGCCTCTGCTCTTGCAAGCTGCAACATTTCCAGCTTCGTTACCAGATCGTCCATAACCCGCTTCCGCCCGTCCTCCTCTCCCTTCACAGACTCTCTCTCTTTTCGCAGGCCGTCAATTTCCTTTTGCAAGCTGCGCTCTCTTTCCTTGGTGGTGCCGAGCTCCTCCAGCAATTTCTCGACCTCTTCCTGAAGGCTCTGCGCCCGCTTCTCCGACATAGCCCCATTCTCCCTTGCCTCAGTCAAACTTGTATACAGTTTGCGTGCTTCTTCCATTGTCTCTTGATGTTCCTCTTTGACCTTGTTTAGTGCCTGCCGCAGCTTCCCGGCAGCTTCCACGGCACCCGCATGTTGTTGCTTTGCTGCATCCAACTGGCTTTGCAAACGCGTCTCCCTCTCCTCGCCCGCCAACTGCTCTTCTCTCGCTTTGTCAAGCGCCTGTTGCAGACTTCTCATCTTCTCCAGCGCGTCCCGATGCTGCTTGTCCGCATTCTCGAGTGCGGCTTTCCACTTCCTTGCCTTGTCTTCATCTCCTCTCTTTTGCGCATCAATCTCCTGCTGGAGCATTCTCTTGTGTTCCTCGACCAGTTCGTCGGCTTCGTCCTTCGATCGCCGCACCATTTCCAGCATCTCATGGCACCCCATGTACTGTCTTTTGGAGATCTCTAGCTCCTTCCGCAGCCGGTCAAGGTCGCCCTGCACTTTCCGATTCAGAGCACTTGACTGTTGCAGTGCTACATTTGACGCCTCCAGCACTCTCGACTTCTCTTCCAGCGCCGTCTTGACGATATGCAACTCCCTCTCCAAAGCGATCTTTGCTGAGTTCGCCTCACTCATCGCCGTCGCCAGGTTGTGCCTCTCTGTTTTACTGTTTGTGAGCTCCTCCCTCATCTCCGCCACTTTTCCATACGCACGCTTCAGCTCCTCCTCCACCTCCAAATTCTAGCCCATGCACACAGCACACAGCATTAAGGGCCAGCACAAGCATCAACAACGGTGTCCTCCGCAACAAGTTACAGTAAGGTTGTAAACAGTTCTTTTTTTTTTAACTCTTCGATGAACAATAGATACATGATCATACATCATACATGATCAACATTTCCATCCTCGATAACTCGTCATCCGTTCATCAAACATATACAAAAGGGTTGGGGTGGTTGATCCAGCATTTCCTCAGCTGGGGGATTGTCACTACCTGTGTGAACACCTCAAACCACAACTGTACACAAGATCTATTCTAGTATTTTGTTGAGCCTCACTTTCTCCCAAGGCTGACCGTATTCAACCTGGGCGTCCACTCGCAGTGACGCAAAACAATGGTGATGCCAGCCACTAATAGTCAGGTTGTGACCAGGACGGCTGGACGCTGGGGTAATCATGCAGTTGCCATGCCGTTGTCGGGCGGCCGCCGACCTGTCAGCCACCCGAGTTTGACGGAATTGGGCCGTTAACCGAAAGAACAGTCAAGATTCTTCGGGTACTCTTGTCGAAACTGTCAGGGAAAATTAGGGGTCCTCAGAGGAACTCCGAAATCCCCTACGTCGACCGCAGGAACTAACCCTTAAACTTAATAAGATGAACGGCCGCATTTACCCCGCCTGACACACACCTTTTTTGTCTGTTCTGAGACTGTCTTCGGATCGGCCAGCCATGATGCGAAGGAATGCTTGTAGGCCTTCGCGCGGCCCTTTTAGGCTGACCAATTGGCGGGGAAATGAGCCCTCAATTTTCATCAAATCTAGTAACGAAATTAAAAGAGAGTTAAAGAATTAAAAATGATAAAAAGAAAAGAAAACGAGTGATTATTTAGTTATTTTAACTTATTTATCAATTTCTGATCGAGCACGCTCTCTTTGATTTTAACCGGAATTTACTAGTTTAATTTTCCCATTTGATTTAAATTTTAAACCAGTGATGGTCCCCGGATGGACCGGGGGACCTTCGACCGACCGGGAGCCTACCAGTCCGACCGGCTGGTTCACTGGCCCGGCAGGCCCCCGGATCAATTCGGCGCAGCCATTTTGGGGGCCGGTACGGGGGATTTTCCGGCGTCCCCATCCCCACCCAGCCTCTGGGAGGCCGCCGCCAGCAGTTAGAAAAAAAAACTGGCCCTACCGGACCCCGATTTCGTTTGGGAACGCGCGGCCAATCTCCGCCGCTGATCGGCGCAGATCGATAGTGGAGATCGACCGCACATTTCCAAACAAAAACGGGGTCCAGTAGGCCCCCGTTTTCAAATTTGAAAACGCGGTCGATGTCGACCGCAGATCTGTGGATCTGCGGCCGAAAACGACCGCGTTTTCAAATTTGGATAAAGTACCATGCGCTGCCTCTGCCCCTCCGCCCCACGTGCCTCACACTACAGCAAGAACGCACGACATTGACGTCGCGCCGTTCTGCATGCGCGTCGACGTCATGATCTGCCACCAGGCGACCAGCGCCTGCGGCCCGTCTCCAGCCCGCCACCGACCTCTCTCTGCAGCTGCTTCGCCCCACCAGCCCGCTTTGTCGCAACCGCCCCCCATAGCCGCGAAGGTAAGTCCACCAGCGCCCCTCTTCTTCTTCTTCTTCTTCTTCTTCTTCTTCTTCTTCTTCTTCTTCTTCTTCTTCCTCTCCACCTCCTCCTCCCCCTCCTCTTCTTCTTCGTTTTCCTCTTCTCCTCCTCCTCCTCCTTCCTCCTCCTCTTCTTCTTCTCTTCCTCCTTGTCCTCGTCCTCGTCTTCTTCCATCCTCCTCCTCTTCTTCTTGTTCTCCTCCTCGTCCTCTTCTTCTTCATATTTTCTTCCTCATCTTCTTCTTCTCCTCCTCATCCTCTTCTTCTTCTTCTTCTTCTTCTTCTTCTTCTTCTTCTTCTTCCTCTTCCTCGTCCTCGTCATTTTTCCCCTCCCTCCTCCTCTTCTTGTTCTCCTCCTCCTCCTCCTCCTCTTCTTCTTCTTCTTCTTCTTCTTCTTCTTCTTCTTCTTCTTCTTCTTCTTCTTCTTCTTCTTCTCCTCCTCTTCTTCTTTTTCGTCTCCTTCTTCTTCTCCTTCTACTTCTTCTTCTTTGTCTTATCCTCCTCCTCCTCCTCCGCCTACCTCCCCATTGAGCCCGAGCCATAGCGGTAGCGATTTTTTTTTTCCCCATCTCGGATTCTTCTTCTTCTTCTTCTACTGCTGCTGCTTCTTTTTTTTTCTACTACTCTTTTTCTTCTTCTCCTTCTCCTCTCCTGCTCCTCTGCTTCCCTCCCCGTTGAACCAGAGCCATAGCCATAGCGTTTTTTTTTTTCCCATCTTTCGTATCAGATTCTCCTTCTCCTCCTCCTCCTCCTCCTCCTCTTCTTCTTCTTCTTCTTCTTCTTCTTCTTCTTCTATTTCTTCTTTCTTGGGGCCGCAATCAGAAAAAAAAACTGTCCCCCGACCCCCTCCCCCACCCCCCACCCCCGAAAAAAAAAGTCCTGACTTCGCAAGTTTTATTGCGGAATCCGACAGATCTCAGCGAGCGCAGTCGGATGCTGCAATCAGGGAAAAAAAAAAAAAATGGGTATTTTTTGGGGCCATCCGGTTTTTCCGGTTCACCCCCTCTGGACTGGTCCGGCCCCGGTTGGACCGGGGCAGGTGATCCGGCCGGTTGCTGGCCCAGCCCTGTTTTGAACAGATTTTCTCTATTTTATTATCCCTCGCGAGATTTATCAGATTTTGCTTAATTTTTACCCTTGCTATACCTCATGTATTATTGTGTGTATGATAACTATAACCTATCGAATTCCCATGGCTCACTGAGTGTTGTGCGAGAACGTGGGTGGACACTTGATCATTGAGTAGTAATTATTCGGACACTACCATGGGCCGAGGCTTGGGCTACCCGCGGACAGACCAGCAGAACCTAGGTTACTGGTAAGGTACTTGTGCTGCTTGCCGCGGACAGACCAGCGGGACCTGGATTACTCGTACGGTACTTGTGCTGCTTGGTACGGTATTAGGCCCGGTCTGATGATTCACTACGGATGGACATAATTTATTTTCTTGGTGCGATTATTGGCATCATTCATTGTGGTTGGTCACTGTAAATTTGGTATGGGCACTGTTTTGGTACAAGTACGATAACTGTGCGGTTTGGCAGAGGATTTGGCCTGATCTGGGACTGCTACGGCATTGGTCTGGTACAATCAACGATTCGCCGCGGTTAGATATTATTATTCCTTGGTACAGCATTAGTCTGGAGCCGCTGCTACTCACACCGGTTGACGCCGTAATTTTGATGAGACCAACTTCAGCTCAGGTATGGCAACTGGTCCGGCACAGGCACGGTGCTGCTGCTGCGGCTCATTTGTGTATTACGGGATACTGGGCATCCACCGTTGGCCCTAAAGAGGGCCTTTTCGATTGATTTGGGCTGCGTAAACTGGTTTGGATGCATTATGCCTTGCTGGAATTACTGCAGCGTCCCTTGTTGGTACCACTGGGCTTACATGGGCTGCGATGGTACCATCACTGTTCCGAACCTGTGAACCCGGGTTTGCAGGTACCTTTGGTCCGCTGAGGCCCACGGCCAGAGCGGCAGTCCCCATATATAGCCCAGACCAGTTGACGAGGGGGATTCATTCGGACAGGGGAGAACTCAGAGCGTGCCAGGCGTACTCAGCCTACAGTGCAAGTGCGCTCAGAGCACGCCCGTTCGGGGACACACTCGGCATGAGGGAAACGCGGACACGTGCTTACGTCGTGCCCAGCTCGGTTCGGAACGCTAGGTGCGCGCAGGGTCAGCGCGCGTCGGCCGGGATTAGAATGACCCAGTTGATGAAGGGGGATGAGCACGGCAGGGGGGAGGTGTGACACGAAAGGGAAGAACAGTTCTGGACCAGAGAGGTGTGCCTGGTGAATGCTGCGACCAGGGGATACTCCGATCGAGCTCATTCGCGCAAAGGGGATGAATGACCAGTAACACGAGAGAATAAGAGACGCGAGATCTCAAGGAGACTGGACAGTCTTCGGGTGCGTGCCCGGAGGACACAGCTATTCTGTCCTTTGACCATCGCTGCAGAGGGAATCAAGAAAGGATTGTGCCCTTCCGTGTCCACTCGCTGCGATTGCGCGTGCGAATGATGGGTCATCATGGATCGGTGTCGAGAAGAGAGGCATTGAGCAGAGGTAGGCGACAAAGATAGTGAACAGAAGATGGCGGAATGGGAATCTTCGCTCCCTCAATCACAGCAACAGCCGATTTGATGTTGGCTGTATTTGGTCACGACAGCGTTCGGGTACATCTATGCTAGAGAGAACCCAGTGTGGGCTGAAGATGTGGGTGACAACGCGCCTGAATTCAAGAGTTGGGTTTCACAGCTGACTGTGAACCGCATGCAGACCAGTTGGGGGTCAGGGAATCAAACTGCATGGGGGAAGAAGAGACTCCCTTGGCCATACCCCGCGGTGGCTGAAGGGGAAACGCGCCATCAGTTGCGGGTCGTTAACCCTGGAAGGTATGTCCTGTCTACGCCTAAATAAGGGTAAATCAATTTCTCGGCGACCTGTGAGCGAATCAATTTCTCGCCGACCTGTGAGCGGACCTGTGAACCGTGTTACATCTTCGACGCCACACGCGTCCTACCAGACCCCACTTAGGGTTAGAGGGACACAGTAGGGCCTAAAGGCCCGACCTTGGGGGTACTACAGGCCGTAAAGGCCTCACTTTGGACCAGACCCGACGGGCAGGCCCAAACGACATTACCGTTTGGGCCTGGCGGCGCTCTTGAGGCTGCCGCCCGCCGGTTGGGGCTGAACCGTCCATCTTGATGGTTCAGGGCACGGCCAGGCCTCGCAGCATTGAGGCCGGCCTCTGCCCCACCGGTACAGAAGTACCGGTCCAGCCTCATTCAGGAATCGACCCACCGGCACTCTAGCGGTGCGGTATGGTACGGCGCGACAGCGCTGGCGCTATACTTAGCGCAGGAGCACGAGGAGCGGCAGCGGCAGCGGTAACGCAGCAGCGGCACCGAGCAGAGCAGCAGCAGCGGCGACTGAGCAGGATCGGCGGCCATAGCCGCCTGAGGTATCGGGAGTCGGAGGTTCTCTCCTCCCTCCCATCGCCAGTCCCCTCTCTCTCTCTCTCCTCCTCGGCTCCCTTCTCCTTCTTCTTCTTCTTCTTCTTCTTCTTCTTCTTCTTCTTCTTCAGACTGGAGACTTATACTGGTTGGACAGAGATCAGGGTTGGACTTCGGTGGTAAGAGGCTGTGGTACTTACCGGGTTCGAGAATTGGAGATTGTTGGGGATGATACTCGGCTGCATCACAGATTTGACACCCGTTACATTAGGACTCTGTATCTCCGACATTGGTCCGACGGGCTCTATGTGCTTGCTAAGACACAAGAAGTACAAAATCAACTCATTACGAATCGAGCCTACCAGTGTGTTCTGTCTCTCTGGTGTGCTCGTGGCTTGTTTGCAGGTTCATCTTCCTTGTTGCTACTGAAAGGATTTCACACTGTCAGTCCCACGTCCCGGTCCCATAGTCCCAATTGGTCATGTTCCCAGGTAGTGGGATTGGAATAACACACAGCCTATGTTGTTAAAGAAAAGAAAGGGAAAAGTTGGAAAACCAAAACAAAGAACTTGCCAATATTTCATGCCTTCTCATAGTTACCTTAACATCCTCCCTCCTGAGTTCGGAGGAAAGATCCTCCAGTGAAATCTGCAAAATACCTCTGCCACTGGCTCTGAGCGGTTCCTTGTTGTTCTCCAACGACATCGATCCCGTCGTACCGTCAGAGTCGCTTGAAGCTGTCGGCCTCTCTGGCAGAAGCGCGGAACTCGTGCACGCCGCCACCTCCAGCTCGCCATGGGCAACACCGCCGTTGTGTACCGCGTCGACATCAGGTTGCTGTTGCTGTCCGGCCGAAGATCCCTCGTCGCCATCTGCGGGCGACAGCAACCCATTCGCTGCTTCCGATTCCTGGTCGGTACCATCTGCCGTCAATGACTTGCTCTGCTCATCCTCCATGCTTTCATTCAGAAGTGAGAGCCGGCGGATGTGTTCTCCTCGGTCAAGACTTGTGAGAGAGCGTGGCAAAGATGCCTCACCCGTCAATGCGTGCTCATTTCAGCTCCTGTGTTTGTGTCCTCCCCATTCCACACTCGTGCAGACGGCAGTGACAGCGTATGATCTGGCGAAAGTGCTGCCGAGGTCCATGACACATCAGATGTACAGGAAATAAAGAACAGCCTCAGTGGGGTGTGTGTGTGTGCACGCGGAGCGAAAGCGACCTCCCTGCAACCAACCAATCAATCTATCCAAAAAAAAAAAAGAAATGAATGGGCATTTTGCCCCACGTGCATGAGTGTGTGTGTGTGTGTGTATTCGTGGGGGGACCCCCTCACAGCAAATCAATCAATCAATCAATCAATCAAAAAAAAAAAGGGCATGTGCCCCGCGTGCGTGAGAGTGTGTGTGTGTGTATTCGCGGGGCGGAGTCGACCCCCCCACAGCAAATCAATCAATCACAAAAAAAAAAGGGCATCTGCTGCGCGCGCGTGTGTGTGTGTGTTTGTGTGTGTGTGTGTGTGTGTGTGTTTGTGTGTGTGTGTGTGTGTGTGTGTGTGTGTGTG